GCAACTGAGCGACGCTCATTGGCTGTCAGTGTGGGCAGACGCTAGGGGCGTGGCCATATACAGTTGCCTTTGAGTGAGTTCTGCGAACTGAGAGCCAGCGTCAGGGCGTCTGCGCCGTGAGCTGCGCGTGCGGGGCTGCGGTTCATGCGGGTGTCAGAGTGTGGCCAACGAAATGAGGGTTAAATCGCGTGCATAATTTAGCAGTTCATTTCATTCATTTGAGTGCAATGCTCAGACGTGCGCTGCTCAGCTTCAAGCAAAGCTCGTGGCGCGCTGTGCGTATGGGTATGCGTGTGTGTGTGGGCGCTGGCGCAGTGGCAACGTGGCAAATATCTACTGTCGTTTACCGCTACAATGACAAGCATTTATGGCAATTAACACTTTAGCTGTTTATATGCTGCTTCCTCTGGTGCTGCTGTTGCTGCTGCCTCTGCCTCTGCCGCTGCTTCTGCGACAGCGCAAGCGCTTGTTATTGTTGTTCTTGTTATGGCTGTTGTTGCTTAAGTGGGTCAGCCATTAGAGCACCACCCACAAAACAACAACAGCGAGTGCGAGTGCCTAAAATCTAATTGCATTTCATGCAAATCACGTCGTCGGAGCCACTTAGCGCCTTTTTTTAACACGCTCGCCATTTTGCCAGATTTGCCTGGCCATGCCCGGCATTTCCGCTTTGCGTTTAGTGCAAATTCAATATCGTGCATAATTAATTTGCAATTAGCACGTTCTGTTTTTGTTTTCATTTCACCAGGTTCGCGCACCTCGTGCTGCATGGAAATTTTCTAATTACAAGCTGAATGCAAACTAGTTTTTAGGCTGCTAGCTACTCGCAATGATGGTCGCTGGGCGCTCGGTAGACTGACTCGTCGGCCGGCGGCAATCTGAACAGCGTTTGGATTTTTGGCACGTACGAGGCCCAGCCAAATGCGTTGGCATATGAAATGAGCTGCAAATTGATGGAGGAATTAGCGCAGCATATTTGATTTGCATGTAAAAGCCTCAGGCAACAGCAGCGATCCTCGGGCAAAAGGACGAGCAACAAATTGATAGATATATGCATACCATATATACTGCATTTGGTAGGAAAATAGATCAAATATCACTGTTCGATGATCGATATATAGCAAAAGTCTCAGCGTAAGAGGACCAATTTGTATAATTATAACGACTAAGTATGAATTTTCATAGTGACTAAATGAACATAATCTTAAAGTAATATCTTAAATCAGCTCAATGTTGGTCAACCCAATCAAAGTATAAAGACGAAGGTGAGTCGGTTGCCCAAATATCAATTTTAGAACTTTTTAGTTCCTAACTAAACAAACTTCTAAGCTGGCTCTAAACCTGATTATTTATGCTCTTTAATATTTATAAAAATATATTGTACATTCATTCACAAAATATTGCTGCAATCGCATTTATAAGTCCATAAAACCACAAAGCCATAGGCAATTAATTGGAAAGCCGCAATCAAAATTGCAATAAGCTTAGCCAAACACAGCTGCTGCGCACTGACTCCGACGCCCGATAAGCCATTCCCGGCCTCCCATACCGCTGAGTGGAGTGCCTCGACTGGCTGACTAATTTATGTATTAACTTTGAACGCTCATTAGTTTAATTAGTCAAACAAATTAACGTGGGGCGCACGGAAAGTGGAGGGCAAACAACAAAATGGCCGAATAAACAGAAAGGCCAGGCGAAAGAGTGAGAGCGTGGGCGGCATTGAGCGTGTGGCATCTCGCTCGCACCTGGTCAGTGCACATCATTAAATATACAAATATTCAAATATGCAACCAATTCGCACAGTTTAGGCGCGTGGAAATAGCAGAAAATGCGCATAAACAATTCTCGCGAATAAATGGAAAATAATTTAATTAGCCCATAATTACGCATCTGACCACAATTGTAATTTTAATTGCGCTTGTCGCGAGGTCAGCGGCTTTTTGCCGATTATCGATTTTTCTTATGCACATTCGCCTTTTAATTAGCTGTAAATCTTTCGCAGCTTGTTGAAAGCCAACGCAAAGTGCAGATGCCCATAGCAGGTGGGCGTAGCTGCTGCCATTGCATGCACTATTTATTTTAACAAGAGATGCTCATTTAATACATATTTTCACTAATTAAATGAGCGAACGAGACAAAGTGACACATTCCCCAAAGAGAGAGAGAGAGAGAGAGAGAGAGAACGGGAGATGTAGAGAAAGAGAGAAAGCGAGTGTAATACATATGCAGATGCGGCAGGCGACAGCAATTTTTCGCGTAAAAGTTTCATGTCTATGTAAACAGCGGCTTGTGTGTGTCTGGCGAGCCGCCCAAATCATTCTGCGTGTGTGTGCGTGTGTGTGGTGTACATATGTAGCTTTCTATACACAGGCACACACACACATACACATTGAAATATCGCCATCGCACATAGTGTGTGAGTATCCATCGTCTGTTTGAGCGCACTTAAATAATGAATAATGACGAGACAGGCAATTAAAATAATTTGCGGTTTTACCGTGCGTATGCGCATCATTTAATTTTGCATGTAAAAGGGTAAAGCGCTTAATACACTGCCACAAACTGAGGTGTACATTGTAAACGAAATTGCTGTAGCCTACTTTCTGGCTACTCATCGTCAGCGAAGCATCGAAAGCTGCTTAGCTCGATGGCTCGTAAAGTAAACGGAGCAAAACGCACAGCCAATTTGCGCAGTGTGTTACACACGCACACCCATGCACACACATACACACTTATACACGCATACACATAAATCACACACTCAGCTTCATCAATGGACCAATTAAAGCGCAGGGCTGCCGCACTGGTGTTGGTAACAAGCATCTTAAAAGTAATTAAAACGAAAATGGTATAACAAGCTGCTCATTAAGAATGCCATCTCCCCTCATTTTGTGGTTAATTATAGAGGAGCGAAGCCGAGCAGCGCTAACGAGCGCCCAGCTCCGCCGGCGTTGGCTACGCAAAAAGCTGAAGCAACGCAAAGTCAACGAAAACAACGGAACGAGCACAAGAAAAATACGCTTAAAAATGCCAGAAGCCGACTACTGAGTGCCGACGAGAACAGCATAAGGATCGATGCGAGCTGTACGGAGGAGGGAATGCCGTTGAAGTTCATTAAGCAGCATCCTCGCCGTCCTGCGTCCACTTAACGATGTCACTTATACGCCCCATTGTGCGCTCAAACCCGACCATGAGCACGACCAGTAGCCAGCCAAGCAATCAACCAACCAGGCTAGCAGCAGGCTATCCACTTAGTAACCTCTCCCTCTTTCTCTCTCTCTCTCTCTCTGTCTTTCTCTCTTTGTCTGTGTACCCCCTCACCCATTTAAAGCCCATGGGCCGCTGCTGCGATGCGTATAAACCGCAAATTGGATGCGATATTAAATTGTCTGTGCAAAGCGCATATAAATTTTTGTTCAATTTAAAACATTCTGCAAACTGAGAAGCGAAACACACACACACACTGACGGGGGGAGAGGGAGAGAGTGAGAGAGAGAGAGAGTGAGAGAAAGAGAGAGACTGAAAGAGAGCCAGGCAAACATGGGCGGCGGCGGCGGTGTGTTGTGTGAGCTGTCTCCCTCTGACCACTTTGAGTTTTACATAGAGAAACAGCAAATAGTGTCAACTAGACGTGTTCCAAGGCTAAAAGCCGAGGAGTTGGTTGGCAACTATGGCCCTTTAAGAACTTGTTTTCGCTATTATCGAAGTCGGCTGACAATTGTTACTACAATTCTCATCAACTAATTAACAAAATGATTAGGCACTAAAAATTACCTCAAACTCAATTAGCCGTTAAAAAAATTGGCAAGTCGAATTGTTGCTCGCGACTTGTTGGCATTGCTTGTTGGTCGTTGTTAGCCACAAGAGCACAAAGCATTCATGCATATATGACTAAGAACAAACCAGGCATGAGCAAAGAAACAACAACGCAAGGAAACAACAAACAGAAAAAAAATGTATAAAACAGCGTGCATTTTAAATATAAAGAGCTGAGATCCATTTCGTAGCCAACGAAGCGCATAAGCAAACAAATTTTGCGCTAAATAATTTGACAATTACTCACATCCTCGAGCGCATATTTGGGTGGCAGTTCAACAGAGTGAAAAGAAAAGAAACTATGTAAAACTGGGCAGCCGTGTGCATGAGAGGGAAAGAGAGAATGAGCTGGTAAAGACAGACCCACAGAAAAAGATAGCGTGTCTCCCCTGTTCATGCCGTTTGCTTATGCCGCCCAATGTGGCTAAGACCTAGGAACAGACCATTACGCTTGCTAACGAGCACAAGGCAAATTAAATCATTAGATGCTAGTCGAGATTAGGTCCTGCCGGAGTACAGCAAATGGAGGAGCCAGACCACTCAAAACGCGAATCACTCAAACTAACTGCAGTGGGCGTGTGCAGCACGAGAAGAGAGCAGCAGCAGAGAGCAGGAGCGGAGTGCAAATCCACTCAAAGCAACCACCACCAGCATCACCAGCCGCAGCTGCAGCAGCCAGCAGCCAGCAAAAACAGAGGCAACGACAGACGCCGCAACAGATTTGTTCACTTTCCATTTAGTTGACTTGCCACGGGCCAGCAGCAGCCACAGCATCTGGACTACCACGCGACTCAAGACTCACTCGACAGCGACAGCGACAGCGGGCAGCAACCCTCAAACACTGTCGAGCAATACCAATGCCATTACCATTACCGTTTCCATTTCCGTTTCAGCCCCGGCTGCGTGTAGAGTGTGGCGCGCGCGGATTACGCTCAAAAGCAGCGCGATAAGCGTAATATAACAACGAGAACAACAAGAACATTAGCAGCGGCAGCATCATCGGCAGCAGCTTCAGATATTGAGAGATACGCGGCGGCATCAGTGACAGTCGATTGACTGCAATCAAGGTGACAACAACACGTCGCGGCAAACAAACTAAGCAAGTGAAGCCAATTGAGGTGAATTGAAGTGAACAAGTGAGCTCCAGTGTTGTGAAGTGACAAGAGACAAGTGCAATAAGCGATATGGTGATGCTGCAGTCGCCAGCGCAAAAGCCCAGCGATAGCATTGGGGCACAGCCCACGGCCGTCGGCGGTCTGATGAGTCCGAATTCAAATCCTGATTCACCCAAGTCAAACACCTCGCCTGAGCTAGCTAATGTGGGCAGCAATGCGGGTGCAGAGGGGGTGTCCGTCTCCAGCAGCGCCTCCAGCGCAGCAACAACCATCAGCGCACCAGCTGCCAAGTTACCCAAGTTTATGATAGGCGCCAGTGGACAGACTGCCAAGCAGGAGCAGGATCTGCGCTACTCAATTGAACGTTTAAAGCAAATGACCAGCGAATCTGGTATGCTCAGTCGCTTGAGTCCAACGCATGAGGATGCAGATAAGGAGAAAAGTAACCACAACAACAACAACAATAATAATAATAATAACAATGTTAACAATAACAACAAGAACAATTCACGCCGATCGCAGTCACCGCCAGCGAATGTGGGTGGCTTTCCGTTGCAAGCACAACAGCGCAAGCTACTGGAACTAAACGCAGTGCGTCATTTGGCACGACCGGAGCCCTTGCAGCATCCCCATGCGGCACTGTTGCAGCAGCATCCGCATTTGTTGCAGAATCCACAGTTTCTAGCCGCTGCCGCTCAGCACCACCATCAACAGCAGCAACAGCAGCAGCACATGCACCATCATCACCACCATCCTGCACACCCACATTCACATCACCCAGCAGCCGCTGTGTTTCATCTGCGTGCAACTGCAGCGTTGCCCACGGCCACTAGCAATGGCAGCGGCACCACTGCACCACCATCGCCCGCTACCTCGCCACTGTCGCCACCCACATCGCCCAACACAGGCACAGGCAGCAGCCAAACGACACATTCCGAGCCACAAACGGGATCGCCTTTGGCCACCGCAATAATACCAGCAAATCCGTCACATTCCGCGCTTCCAGCACCGCCACCGAATCCACAGCCACAGCCGCCGCCACCACCGCCACAGGCAATGTCTAGCGCATCGCTACAGCTGCACTTGGGTGCTGGTCCACATCCAGTGATGGGTCGCATTAGTCCAACATCCGCCAACGACATGGATCTGGAGCGCATTAAACTGGTGGCAGCGGTTGCCGCGCGCTCCAGTCAAAGTCAAGCGCCCAGTACATCCACCGCGGCATCGACCAGCTCCTCCTCCGCCTCACCCTCTGGCCGTGACCTAAGTGATTACGGTTTTAGAATACAACTGGGCGGCCTGGCAGCTGCAGCGGCTGCTGCGGCGGCCACATCTCGCCAGATTTCGGCTGCTAATTATGCGCGCAGCGACACCAGCGAAGAGCTGAACGTCGATGGCAACGATGAGGACAGCAACGATGGCTCCGGTTCGCACAGCACACCGTCGGTAAGTCTCTAGCTTGAAAATGTTTTGCATACGAATTTTCCATGCTTAGATTTCTTTGCCTTTATATACTCTGCTTCAAATTCAGGTCTGCCCCGTAGATTTGACGCGCTCCGTGCCGAATAGTGCCAACAGTGCAGGCACTGCATCTACCAGTGGAGCTAGCGACAGGGAGGCCACCAAGCGTCTGGCTTTCTCCGTGGAGAATATATTGGATCCCAATAAGTTTACGGGCAACAAATTGCCTGCAACAGCGCCACCCTTTGGACATCCGCGTCAATGGAGCTACGAGCGAGATGAGGACATGCACGAGCATCTGGATGATGAGCACAGCGAGGATATGTCTGGTAAGTGTCTGCCAAGCGTTCCTATGCACATATAACTAAAAGCAATACCAGAAAAAATAATACCTGTGCTAGTCATTGGTGCTTGATTTGATTGGAATCTAACAGAAAACGGAAACGCACCTTTCAATCTGTATGTATGTGCTGTGTGTATATATATAATATGTTTATATTGATCAGAGCAGGGCAGAGAAACTGCAAAACGTTTTCGCTTCCACTTGTTATTCCAAACTGCCAACTTTATTCGAGCGCCTTTTTTTGCAGTCCACATGACTGTGTGTGCATGAGTGTGGGTCTGTGGGCTGTATTTAAACTGCCGCTTGTAGCTTTTGGTATGTTTTGATTTTGATTTTGTTTTTTTTTTTGCCGAAATTCACGTACCCACCGACCAGACACACACGGATACACGCCCGCACACCGAAGAGGGTAAGCAAAGTTGCCATTTTGAACGAGCAGAGATTTTGTGTTGCCAGCTTTCAGGCGCAAGTCACGTACACACAGCTAAATTGGGTGTACGGTGTGGGTGTGGGTGTGTGTGTATGTTGGTACTATGAAAGCATTTATATTTCGAGTATATTCACCGGGTAAACAAATGCGGCAACAATGCGAGAGATGTATAAAACTTGTTTAGACTGAGAGCTTCACTCATATTCAAGTGGGGATTTTGCATGGAATTTGTTTTAATTGATTGATTGATGTTTTAATTGGGAAAAGCAATTGCTCTGTGGAATTTTTTGATATTTCTTTTTGCCAGCTTTTATGCTGGCCATGTATTCGGGCGCTCTCTTTTTTTAATTTTCTTATTTTTCTCTTGCTAGCTGTTGGCTAACATTTTGCTGAAAATTAATTGATTTTCATGCTTGGCTCGTTGCAAAGAAAATGCTCAAATAAAAATTTGCAAATTTGATTGAAGTTGTTGTGGTGAACTCGGCAATAAGGAGCGTGGGTAAGGCAGACCAGGACTGCTAAGCTGATGCAAAGCGCAAAAATAAACGATAGTCACAAAGTTTGTGGGGTGTGTAGAAAGGGAGGCATCCTGTATTAAGCTCGTGGGGCAAGACACGTAAAAATTCAGGTTTTGCAATTGGGAAACGGTTTGTTTGCACACTGGTCATGATTTGATTATGATTGAAAGTTGGGCATATTGAAATTGAATTACGATTTAGAAGTTATAATTTGTGGGCGGGAATTAGCAATAAATAAGGTGAAAAAATCTGCAATTGAGATAAACTCAGTGTTACTTTGTGTGAGAAATAATTTTATTTAAAATCAATTTTATTTGAATGCATTAATTAAAAACAGCGCTAACTTAATCCAACTAAGTTAATTAAGTATATAGGATAAGCTGTTTAATTGAGATTGATTGATTATAGATTGAGTCATAGATTAACTACATGACAACAGTAAAATGATGGTTTTACAAATTATCAGATTGAATTAAGTGCATCAGAGCTTTAACTGTTGTTTAGCATTGGCTACAACCGTTAGTTGGCTTAAGATTCTATTTAGATTTTACTTATATCATTTAGAAAACTGGTAATTTTATTCTATTTATGTTGAAATGATGCGACGCTAGGTACGTGGGCATAAATGAATAGCTGACTTTTATGCGATAGATAAGTACCCAACTGTCACTAGCTCTTGCAAATCATAATCAAACATCGCTTAACTATTTTTCGTGAATCAATAATAAACAGCACTCAATATCGTCAGCCATATCAGACAATTACCAGCCAGTCATTCAGCTCTTCTAAGAGTGTAAGTTGCACTCACATTCACACAAGCATTGATACTCACACCATCCCAAATGCACACACACACAAACAAGCCACTCGCTTTATTGGCCACTTCAGTAAGCGCTTATGTACAAAATTATAAACAGTGAAAATGGCGGAGACCACATCAACAACAGCAATAACAACGGCTGCAGCAACAACATCATTATCAGCAACAAATAATCGGCCATTGCTGCTACTGCTGCTGCTGTTTATTGTTGTTGTTGCTGTTGTCGTTGTTGCTGGCAGTTTGTGTGACTGTTTGCATTTGTGTTTGTGTTAATAAAACACAATTAACTTCATCAATGGCGCTGGGTGCGGAGGTGGTAGTACTCCCAGTACTCGAACATAACTGCTAATAAAACAGACTGAATGACCGCACCAACGATCCCAAGCGGTGGCAACAGCACAAGACAACAGGATAATGATGCTGGCAATGATTATGTTGCTGTTCGTGCTCGTGTTATTGTTGCTGGCAGTTTATTCAGTCTGTTGAAGTTTACAGCAGAGGGACAGTATACAGTTGCGCAGGATGTTCACATTACGCATACGCAGGGTTTGCGGCCTGTGATCCAACGATTGTTCGCTGCTCGTTGCTTGGTGATGCTGTAGCCATTAATTAGCAAGGTACTTAATTACCGCACATTCATTAGCCGCTTCAATGGCTCTGCCCAGGACACACACATACAAATTTACAGCTTTAAAGCACCCCCCGTTCCGACACTTAATTTTATGGCATGGTAGGTGCTAATGTTGCTGCTGGTCGCTTCAGTTTATATTAGCGTAATTATGCGGCTTTTGTCTTGGCAACTAATTAGATTTTATGACACTTCACACAGCCCTTCTCTTCCCGCCTTTGGCTTTATCGGATCATACTGCATGCATTGTGTGCATGTCGTTTAATAATTCATAAATATTACGCATACGCGGCATTTGTCAGATTGTCAGCAAGCAATTCTCTAAGGCGCCATTCATCGGAGCCGGTCGCTAGGCGCACACCAATTTGCATTTCATTTAAAATGCAAAACAAAACTGAGCCAAAAGCATACAACTAGCAAATGCACTAAAAGCAGCGTTGAAAGCCACACAACAAAACACGTACACTTATGTACATACACAATAACAGATTGGGTGGGGTGAAGAAAATAAAAAACAACACGGATAGTAGCATGGATGGCCGCATACACTCTCCAATCCTGCATTATGCTCGGGCTCGGGCAGCACCAGAAATTCGCCCCAAAAGTCATATGAAAAAACATGCGATAACTAAGTGGGCGCACAGAGCATGGCTGGCACCAGGGGTGCGGGTCCGGGTGCGGGTGCGGGTGCTCTTACTGGGGTTGGGTCGAATAAAATGGTTATGTGGCAACATTTAAATGTGGGTGGCCATGGCGTGCCAGCAAGAATCAGGGGAGCGAATCTGCTGGCAACCAACCCCCGAAAAAGTAAAATGGCTGCGAAAACTTTTATTCTTTTCAGCACTCAATTTTGCGCTCAGTCGTGCGCTCTCGCTCGAACCCACGCAAAATGCAATGCCAATGCCAATGCATCTATATACATATATATGTATATATATAATGTATGTATGTATGTATATAAATATATATACATATATAGCAGACTTTGTATCCATGAGTTGGTGTATACTGCTGGTCCTGCGGCTGGTCGTATTCCTGGCGCCCCGGGGAGCCTTGCAGATTTGTGTGCGTGTCTGTGAATTCTGTAAAGTTAGGCGACAATTTCCGAAGCCCCGGCACGGTTTTTTATATCCGTCATCAGCAACTCATTTATTATTTTATGAAAATGGCAAAATGAGACGACAAACGCTCCCCGGGGTCGCATTGGCCAAGCGTATGCGATTATAATGATTGCGACAATGAAGCCCCCTGAAATGCCGTGCTGGAGCCCAAATTTAAAAGCTATTTTGTAAAAGCTCTCAGCCGAGTATTTGTCTGTGCGTGTGTATGTTGGTAAATTATAACGATGGCTGTGGTAATTAACACTCGGATTTCATAATTAAGTTTATGGCTTCAAAGTGTACGTTGTCGTGCATGTTTATTTACTTTTTGCATATACCTTTACAAGGGATACAACAGTTCTCATATGCTGCTTGTAACGTATACCAAAAGAAGCTTCTGAGACAAAGAGTAGATCAACATGAAATTTGCCAGACTCTTCTATAATGATATTACACATTTTACCCGCTTTTAACCTTAGCCCATTTATAAGAGTAGCACAGCTTCGGTTGTTGAAAATAGTTTTTAATGTCCTCTTAGTATACTGCTTGTCTGTCTCGCTTTCTTTTTAATTCAAATTGTTGTTGTTCAACTCAAAGGGTTGTCGAGTTTGGCTTTTAAACTGCACCGTCGAGGTTCTCTGAATGAGAGCTTATGTATGTGTGATTTCCTGTTGGTAAATGAGCCTTGTCTGTGCCCTTTTTTATATGTCGCTTTATCTTCGACGCGCCATATCATCAAAATTGCTTATGAAGTGCTTTTGGCATTATTATAATTAACTGCTGTAACTTTACAACTGGTGCATACGGCATACGACTGATAAGAAAGGGAGAGCCGTAAATGAAATTGGTATTGTTACAACGATGGGGAATCCGAGAGGATATTTGATAGTGAACAAATACTAAGTCAAAGAAGAACATGTAAGAGGTTCTAGTCAGGAGCTCCCGACTAGGGGATACCCTGAACACTCTTCTTCCAACATCAAATGCATATATATATTATATTTTAGAAGCTATATGTGAAGTTTGGTGACTCTAGCTCTTGTTATTTACCAAAATTGGCCAAAAAACAGGATATCGATATCGATTTTTATCGATTGCTAATCGATTATCGGAAACAAACTCGATCTGCGCAGGCACCTACATCTAAAATTTCAAGTCTCTAGCTCTTATAGGTTCTGAGATCCTTGCGTTCATACATACGGACGGACGGACGGACATGGCTAGATCGACTCGGCTATTGATGCTGATCAAGAATATATATACTTTATGGGGTCGGAGAAGCTTCCTTCTGCCTGTTACATTCATTTGGATTTTGCACAAATACAATATACCCTTATACCCATTTTTAATGGGTTCAGGGTATAAAAATGATAATACTATCACGAGTGATGGAATATATTTTATAAATTTTGATTTTTGGTATTTTAGAGATTTTCTAAATTTGGCTTTCATTTCCAAGCATTTAACCATTTTAATTTTGTTAAAAAATGACTAATTAAAATCTGAGATACAAGTTAAAGAAGCTTACAAGGAATGTAATATTTTTATTTCTAAATTTGAAATATATGGCCATAAGATTTCAATTATTATAATATGCCATATTATGATAAATAATTTAGCTTTCATTGAACGTGACTTAAAATCTTTGCAAATATCAAATGTTTGTGCTGCCCTTTCAGCTATTCGGCTGCCATACAACGCGCATACGCCATGTTGCACTGCACAGTCGGTTAGTTACCCTAATTAGACCCCGCAATCACAGACTTCACTTCCTCCCCACGGATTGCAGCTGGTGGCTGCAGCGCTTATTAACCAGCTGCGGTTGCGGCTGACTGTTTATAGGACGTAAACACCCTTTCAGAGGAGTACACAATACCCGCACCGGTCCCCGTACCCCACCTGTTTTACTCTGTCTGCGGACCTTTCGACTTTTTCGCGTTTGTTTGCCAACGCATTAAACATCTGGTGGAGCAGCGCCCCACGGGGCTGTTAATTCAATTGACTCAAACCAATTGTGGTCAGAGGCAGTCGTCGGAGCAGTTCAATGGATATTGATGAGATATTCGGGCATCTAATGTGCCATTAATGCATATCAAAGTGCCTGCAAACACTCCACAGCCCATTACCAGTGCATTGGGCGACATGCGAGTCATTTGCATTTGAAAGGACAAACTCCACACACCGCCGGACAACGCCGACGGCTAGCAAAATCGTTAAATATTAAATGAAGCGTTCATGTTAATTTTCTGTTTAATTGGCGCGCTGTCTGTGGCGCTCTTTTTGATAGCTACAGCCAGGCTAATTACATGCAAACATGGCCAATCATGTTGACCAATTACCAGGCGCATGCATTTTGCAGCGCTGTTTGCCCTGGACAGGACTACAGCTGCTCCTTTCCACTATAATTCAGCCAGTCGGGCTCTTTCATGGCGGTTGACAGTTTCGAAATAATTCATCACGCGGCTGTTTCGTAGTTAGGTGAGATATTGTGGCCTAACCTGAAAACGTGTCGTCTTATTTTATGCAAGCAAAAAGTCAAGGGAGTTAATTTTTAGTCGTTATCAAGCCAATTAAGTGTCCATTTTTATCGATATCGATTACATAGAGATGGCTTGCATAAGCTTATGCAATCAGTTGACAAAAACATTCTTACCTATGCCAAAAAGCTAGTCCAGACAGCTCAGCTGGGTAATCAATATGCCGTGGCACGGGAGTTGAACAGTGGGCTCAGTTATAACTAGCTGAACAGTGGACGCGTTAATTGAAATTCGATTACCGCAACATTACGATTAATTGCCCAGCCATTGCACGTTTTGGACGGCTCCGCCCATATTCACATGTGCGTCAACATGTGCCCAAGATTCCAATTAATTCAGACTGCTTGGACCGATGCGAGGTGATTGATTTCAGCTTGCGAATCTGGCACTGGCCCTGGGGCATACGCGCTGTCAGTCAATTGATTGATGATGCTCTTGGTTTATGCAAAAAAAACTATCTTGTATTTGATTTGCTCCTCTGCTTGCAGCTCAGGATCTAAATGACATGGATCAGGACGATATGTGCGACGATGGCAGCGACATAGACGATCCCAGCAGCGAAACTGATTCCAAGAAGGGCGGCAGTCGCAATGGCGATGGCAAGTCCGGCAGTGGCAGCGGTGGTGGTGGCTCCAAGCCACGACGCGCACGCACCGCCTTCACCTACGAGCAGTTGGTTTCGCTGGAGAATAAGTTCAAGACGACGCGCTACTTAAGCGTGTGCGAGCGTTTGAATTTGGCCCTCAGCCTGAGCCTGACTGAAACGCAGGTGAGAATGGGCTTTGACTGGGGCTGCTGGCAATATGCTGAACTTCTTCGTATTTGCAGGTCAAAATCTGGTTCCAGAATCGACGTACAAAGTGGAAAAAGCAAAACCCAGGAATGGACGTGAACAGCCCTACCTTGCCGCCACCCGCTGGTGGCTCCTTTGGACCTGGCGCCTACGCCAGTAGTCTACTCTATCCGCACGCCGTGCCCTATCCGCCGTACGGACCATATTTTCATCCCCTTGGCGCGCACCACTTGAGCCACTCGCACTCATAAAATTGTAAGATGCAACAGCGTTTGTTGCAACTCTTCGAAAAGCGTGCCAAGGGTACAGGCGCAGAGGCACGGGCAGGCCCGGGAGCCAATGCATTGTAAATATGAAACCGCTTTAAATGTTGTTTAGTCTCGCCTGTACATAGTTCTTGTACAAATACCTATAAAGCATATTTTAGCGCTTAAATTGATTACAGCCAACGAAGCCCAAAGATGTTGTCGACATATCTAGCATTATAATTATGAGTATGTAATTACTGTAACGATTTACTTTTGAGTATGTAATTATTATAACTAAGAACAATTTATTAGCATTTAAGTGCAAGCGAAATCAAAAATCAAAAACAGACCCCTAAAATGGCGTTAATATAAAATTTAAAACAAAAAAAAAAAAAAACATTTTAAAAATTACTAAAAAGAAATAAAACAAAAAATATATATATATATATATGTGAGTAGGGGTTTTTGGTATTTAAATGCGTTTGTATAAGCAGAGGGCAAAAAACAATTTATCGCTGTGACGCACACAGATAAACGGAGCAGACTGATTGCCAAACAGACGGAGTGACATACTGGAAGGTCTCTCTGGCAGGCGTGTGAAATGACAGGACAACAATGCTAAGTCAAGTGTAAAATTTTAAATTTGCTTCTCATTTGCCGTGTGCGGCTCAAGCACTCACACACACTCGCAGCTATTCAATTATGTGGCAAACGAATACGAAATATCTTAATCCGATTTGTGTGATACAATGCCGGGCATATATTGCGCCCATGGTCGGGGCGAAGTTGTCAAAACAGAGACAACCAAATGAATAAATTCACGTGCATTCACACCTCACGCCCATTGATATTATAATAACTACTCCCTGGCAGCCGGGCCCGAGCAGTGCTCCTCAGTATTGGCCAGCATAATTGAAACAGAAATCCATGCATGGCCAGCTCCAGGAGCATCTACTGAGCCGGACGGCCAGGCGGATGCGGATTGACTACGAGTGCCGTTGACAGCCACGGCAGACAAACAAACAAAACAAACGGAGTCACTGCGGAAATCCCTTAATATCTATTACGCCACCGAGCCCAGTACGCTGAGCTCTGTGTGAAAAGCCACGCGACACGCGCCGCGTATTCCGCGTGCATTGGCTGTAAAATTTCGCACATTTGATTGCATTTGCGGCAAGCTACTACTCGCCCGTATCCGTAGGACGGATGTGTCTAACTTTTTTCTTTCCGGTAAGGCACATTTGCATAAATAATTTATTAAAAATTTGCTTTTACATTTGTTTTAAGCTTTGCTTAAGTACTTTGCAATTAGTCGCACAAATCCCATTTGAAGCACACCCGCATATGCATATTATGCATGAACCATGTGTGTGTGTATATATATACGTTAATTTCTGTAAATGTAAGTCACTAAATTATTCAGTTGCAGACATCCTAGCGTATTTCGCACTAAATTCCCTAAAATGCGAATGCGCACAAACGAGCTCGATTTGCATACAATTAAATGCAAATGAGCGAGCACAAATTTATGGTGCGACTAGAGTCTAGTTTATATTTCTGCCCAGTTAAAAGTGAACTGGAATTTTGTAAGTTTATGACCTCAAGTAATATAACTTATTCCTGTTCCTATTCTGTTATATATTTTGAAGATAATCTGTTAAAACTAGACAATTTTAATAAAAAGAAGATAAGTTCTTAAACTTATAAGATTTTAATCAAGTCAGTAAGAAAGTCAGCTTAAAGGTAAGTCCTTAAAATCGTAAGACTTTAATCTAGTTTAAAAAAATTAAACTGTTTTGCATCTTTTTAGTTTTCTTGGCTAAGTTTTTAATTTCTGATCATTACAAATACCCTTAAAACTCCCTCGAATAGCACACTAAATGCAATTTATTGTAATATGTCGCATTCACGCCCAAAAACATCTCCTCATCCATAGACAAATCTTTGAAACGATAAATTAACTAGACGCCTCCCCACTTACAGTAATACTTAGCTTTCCCCTTATATTTACCCTTAGCCTAGCCCTTGTCCTGGACGGCGAACGCCCAAACGCAAATCCAAGACAATTGCTTTCCAATAAGCGCCATAATAAAGCAAATCTCATTTTAAGCATTTTGCACCACCAACAGCTACAACAACAACTACTACTATGGAAAGAGCTGGCAGCCAGGCAGTTGCCCCTTCCAGGAACACTTCACTTGGCTCCGGCGAAACTCATTGCAGAATCAAAACGCGACACTCTCGCAATTAAGTTGTTTTGCTCGAGCTTGTCTCTGTTTCTCGCTTTCCCTTTCTCTCTCTCTCCCTTTATCTCTCTTTCTCTCTCTGAGTGTTTTGGGTCTTTTGCCTAAACTACTTTGAATTTTATTTTATAGGACTTGTTTTGGAATCCAATTTGTTTCCTTCATATTATATATATAAATTTTTTGTTGCTTTGTTTACGTATTTTACGAGAACCTTTTTTTGCGCCTGAATTGCTGCAGATTACGCATACTTCATTCAGAGTGTGTGTGTGTGTGTGTTTGGGTGTGTGTGTGTGTTGGCAGCATGAGCAACACTTAATCTGCACCATTGACTTTTCTGCAGTCCGCCCCTCATGCGTGTTTTGTCACACCAAGCCCAGTCATGCCCTCTCATCCCTTTGGCGCTCTCCCCTCTCTTTGAATCTAGTAAATTTTATGCGTATATTTAGTTTGCTGTGCTTATCAGCGCAGCTTTATCGAAACTTATTGTGTTTGTTTAATTGAATTTGGATTGGCGCGCTGCGACTGCAAGGAGCACGACAACGCTGACGACAATTTCGCGTCTGAGTGCGCGCCGGAGACGCTGACGGCGGGCAGATAAACCAGAATGGAGCAATGGAGTGAATCTCGCTTAGTTGCCAAGCGGCAAGCGGCAAGAGGAATGTCTAATTGGGAGTGGTAGATCAACTCAAGTCTTAGTTTAGTTCATTTAGTTCGCTATTTGTGGCTGACAGCGACTTTCGCGGCAATTAAAATTTAACTGGCGTGCCACGCCCATGCGCCCGAGCGCACAACCAAATGCTTGCATATGTGCGCCCATATAAATTATGACCAGAGCTTGACATAAACAAGCTCCCAAGAGGCCCTTTGGCCAGGCTGTATGACAGATTTGCCCAGCGCATTTGATGAAGAGCAGGAGAATGAGGGTAGGCTACACGCTAAAGTGTCACCGGGGAACGGGCCGCCTGCCACATGTGTCTTGAGTCAAGCGCCGTCACGGAGCTACCGGGGTGGCATAGTTGCCATTGTTGTTTGCAAGCGAATCACATTTTGATGATTGTCAATGTGACTTTAATACCATTTTTCAACTTGACACGCGCGTGGGACGCTCAGCAGCCAGCTAGCTGAATGAGGACGAGACTGAGACTAGGACTGTGTCTGAGGGGTTGCGCTCGGCACGTGCATTCACGAGGCTGTATGATAAGAAAAAAGGGCTATGGCCAGGCCCAAAACTGTGTCAGGCAGAGAACGCAATGCTGACATCTGTGGATTAAATTGCAATTTGTGCTCATGTAGAATTGAAGCTTGCAAAGAACTTCGACATAACACTTTTTCATTGTTGGCACGAAATTTTGTGCGGCAATGATGTTCATGCTGCCACACAATTGCTATTAGTATTTGAAATGGGCAATAAAACTGTAAACGACCTTTGTGTTGAAAATTACATTAAATATTTTAATGGTCGATTAACTGAGAGAGCGAGAGAGAGAGAGAGAGAGAGCGAGAGAGAGAGAGAGCGAGAGAGGGAGAGAGAGGCACACAGAATGGGGACTTAATAAGAAAGGTAGTTAAGGGCTCGCTTCTTATATAAGTTTCAAATATTATAGGGGCTATTGGCCCTATTGGCTTTTTTGGTTAAGCGGCACGAGGCCAAACAAACGCTTCGCACCAGCTCGTAATTCATCATCGTTTAGGTAAGCTCATCTAATGCCACGACCAGCTACCTGTCAAGTGGCAGGCCCAACAAGGCTCCGAGAAAAGCATTGCGAATTCAACGTAAATTAAACGCGTGTCCGTGACTCGTCATCTGCCCAAATAATTCGCAGTTAATTCTCCGGCAAGCGCAACGAAATGGGGCACAAAGCCAAACCGCGCTTCGACAATGGGAGCTGTGCCTTTTTATTTGGTGAGAAAACATTTACGCACTAATTTCTGTGCAGCGCGGGGTAGCACACGGCCAGGCTGAAAGGCATTCGAGCCACATTACCAGACCAGTTGCATGCCAATTGGTTTGCAATTTGGCGTGCTTAGCGGCGAGGGTTGGGTGGAGTGCGGAGCACTGGCAGGAGCGAAATGCCTTTCGCCCCGGGTTGCTTTAGCCACAAATAGCGCACGCGTAGCGTCCAACACGTGCCTCAATTACGCGGTTAAATGCATTCAAATTGAGTTGTTTATACTGTGGGCGTGCGCTGGCGGCGGGCGGCGGTCAATTGGGAGCGGCTTGCTGTTGAAGCATACTTAGATGCGCGCCGCTGGCAAATCAGTTACAGTTACTGTTTTTGTTGCTTGGAGCACTACGTGGCACGCGGCCAGGCATTGTTCGCAAATTTGGAAAAGTGTTGCTGTCGGATCTGACCCCCCCCCCCCCCCCCCCTGGCTCACCCGTTAACAGCGTTGTCAGCTACAAACATAAAACTATCAGCATTCGAGTGGGTGTGTCTGGGAGTGTGGGTAGATTGTTTATGTCATTGCTACCCCTTGCTGTAAATCCGCTTATGAGTGTCTCATATTTTAGCCGACATTACACGCAAATCAAAACAAAGGCAGCCATAATTAAAGGCAACCAGACAGCGACTCTCCCCTGCCCCTCCCCACCACCTTATCCTTTGTCGTTTGTTGAATTTGCAGCTGAAAGTTTTTTGCTAACAAAAACAAAAACAAGCTGCAAGAGCAGACAGCAAACAAACTACTGTAATTATAAGTGAAGCCATTTCAAGCAATTATAACGCTAAAACTGGGCAAGAGGTGGCTAAGCCAAGAGTTAAGACAAGGACCCCAGGCGTTCTTCC